GCAGCACCCACTACATCAACGGGAGGACAAAGCCTCAGCAGCGCAGCTCGATCATAAGTCACCAGAGAAGCCACACCATTCAAAAAAAAGCATCAGAGACAAAAAAAATACATAAAACGCCAATAAAACGGTTCCATTGCATAAAAAGGACGAGCAGCTCGCTGCATGCACCCGCACGAGCGCCATCTGAACTCAATCTTATTATCTTAGGTCAATTATCTTTTGTGAAATAAACAACATAAGAAAAAAACACTCACATTTTCTAGGTAGCCAAAAGCTAATTAGCAAACCCAGTTATTGGATGGATTTTCTATAAGTGAAGATAAAACTAATCAGAGCCCAAACATGCACGATCGTAATGATAAACAACATGGTTGAATAAACACTTAAACGTGGTTATTAATACAATGGGGATGGTGTTCATTTAAAAAATTGCTTAAATACATGTACATATTAGTTAACAGCAGCGTAATGCAGCACCACGCTAGCAAAAACAACGTTGACATTTCACGACATTACGGTAAAAACTAAATCCTGTACCGTCTTAATCCCCCTAAATGAGCTGTAATGGTTTTAATTTTTATTACAAAGAAAAAGTATAAAAGATAGTTACTTCTCACTTCTCAGATCTCGGAGCGCAGCAATGGCGGATCGCTCGGACAGGCTGTGACAATGCAGTTCTCTGATTCGTCGGCAAAAATGTCAGTCTCAAAAAATGGAACAAATACGGCCATTTGATTGGTCTACCACAGTCTGTTTCTCGAAAATGGAACAAATACGGCTATTTGATTGGTCTACCTTATGGCACAAATGTAACAACAAGAACTGCCCCAATCAAATGGCCATATTTGTTCCATTTTTTTGAGACTGACATTTTTGCCGACGAATCAGAGAGCTGGATTGTCACAGCCTGTCCAAGCGATCCGCCATTGCTGCGCTCCGAGATCTGTGAGGTGAGAAGTAACTATCTTTTATACTTTTTATTTGTAATAAAAAAAACTTAAAAAAATTAAAAGCATGACAGCTCGTTTAGGGGGGTTAAGACGGTACAGGATTTAGTTTTTACCGTAATGTCGTGAAATGTCAACGTTGTTTTAGCTAGCGTGCCGTTGCATTACGCTGCTGTTAACTAATATGTACATGTATTTAAGCAATTTTTTAAATGAACACCATCCCGAGTGCATTAATAACCACGTTTAATTGTTTATTCAGCCATGTTGTTTATCATCACGTTCGTGCATGTTTGGGCTCTGATTAGTTTTATCTTCACTTATAGATAATCCATCCAATAACTGGGTTTGTCATTTAGCTTTTGGCTACCTAGAAAATCTGAGTGTTTTTTTCTTATGTTGTTTATTTCACATAAGACAGGACAGCACGTCACGTAAACTAATCATAACATTAATGAAAAATAAGATAATCTGTAACTGATCAGCAGTTGCTCAGATTTTGTATGAACTTTAAACCTAGTTTTCCTGCAGCTCCTCATCCAGTCGATTCCTCCTTTATTTAGATGGAACATCCAAATTTTAAAAAGGCCAAGAAAAGGACCCTGTGCTGTCGAGTGCGAGGCTGCGGGTTCGAGTCTCATTCAGATTATTCTTGACCTTAATTGCCAATGCTCCGTGAACAATGTAGGCTTTTAAAAAAAAGTTTCAAGCAAAAGTAAACGCATAAAAACACGATTAAATGAGC